ATATGGGTTAAATCGGTTCACAATCACGCCTTCTTCCAATATAACGCTATTTTGAATTCCATCTGATGCCTTCTCTGTATAATATATACATTAGGAACAAATGATGATAGCGGAATAAAACTTTACACAAATACCGTATTTGATGCGAGAGTATAAAATGTTCGGTGACACCCGAACTTAGCCCTTCCATACTTGTTTTTAATTTGTTTTGTTTTTTTTTTTAGAAAAATTCTGAATTCTTATATTTAGAATTGTATCTTTGTCATTTTTATCTTCGAAAATTTTTAGGTATACAAAATTTTTCTTGATCTTTACATTATTTCTATATGGTATTACTATGAGCAAAAAATAGTCAAACTTTGTTCATAATTTTAAAATTCTTATTTTATTCTTAAAAATCTATTTAACCACCCTAAAATTAATTCTTCTTGGCGATTCACAATTAACGTCTTTAAATAACCGTGTTTTTTCGGCTTTGATTAACCTTTGCCACGTTCATGCGGCCGATTGATCGTCTGTTCCCGAGTCGTAAGCATCCATGACTCATCGTTAGTAGTAATACGTTTCATGACATCTTTGCTTTACAGACGTAAACGCGTCGGTGTTTTTCGAAAAAAAAAGTGCGCTTTCACTTTTCTTAGATCGAAACGATCTCTCAAAATAGTTTTCACTGATTCTTTCGATATTCCAACGATGCCAGTAAAAACAGTGGCTGCTAATCGTCGATTCTCAAGCAGAAATTGCTTTATTTTATTGACGTGTTGATCATCAGTTGAAGTTGATGGTGGTGGTTCATCGTCAACGCGTTCTGGACCCTCTTTGATTTTTTTTTAACATTATTTTGATGTGTCATTTGGCACAGATGTCTACTGACAGTCATATCCATATAAAAAAAAATATTTCGACGAATGGGTTTTCGCTCGAAATTCAAAATAAAAAGTCTTACTATTTTTTGCCCACAGTAGTAAATCCTTAAAAATACGATTTTCGAGTGGACGCGGATGGTTAAAGGGTTAAAAAATTTAATAATATAGTTTCTTAAATAAACTGAATCTAATATTCATAATTTATAAGTCTAGACTAAAAAAACTAACTGTGATATTTTTCTTTTCTCTTTAACAGTTCAAAACAAGTGCCAAGCATGACTACTACCCTCACAAAGCCCTTTGTGTTTGGAGATTATGTATAAATTACTGTTACTAACTTTAAAATTTTGACTGCTGGCGACAATGTCTTACCAATAATTTATAATAAATAATATTGTTCAATATAACTTCATTTATACTTATAAACAATTTATACGTAAAAATATAAAATAGCAAATTCATATATTAGATTAATAAAGTCAATTGAGATTACATTATATTATTGGAATTATTTAGAAGCATTCTTAAAACAATAGATAAGTAGACTCAAAACTTAGCAGTAAAATATTTAGATTTAGTCATGCGATTACGGTAAGTGAAGTACGTCGGCCATGATGGAGCTTTCTTTTCATACAAACTGCTGTACTATAGTACATACAATCTATGTAGGTCCTAAAGCATTTTTTCTGTGGAAGAATCACTGAAGCTTTTTTTTTTTTTTTTTTTTTTTTTTTTTTTTTTTTTTTTTTGTGAAGTTTTTTTTTTTTTTGATTTTTTTTTTTTTTTTTTTTGTTTTTTTTTGCAGTCATCATTGTCAAGTTTTTCTCAAAACAAAAAATTAAATTTAAGGAAATATTTACTTGTTATATAAAGTGAATTTTATGTCCAGCAAGTTCTTGGCAATGCCAAATGAAGGATCAATATTAATACAAGCTGCAGTTTAAGTCCTGCAGGATATTAACGCTTTTTGCGAAACTCTGAGATATCGAAGCCAAATTCTAAATAATCCCGTACATGAACAATGGAGATTTTCCCGCGTCTCTCTCGTGCCTACTTCCTTAAATGTCATCGTTAATAATGCCCTTACGATTCGCATGTGAAGTTCTGACCTGTGACTAGGCTAACAACCGGCTTACTGTCTTTTCGAGGCCTTGTGAGTTGAATAATGGCGTATTTTCCTTCTATTCCCATGTACGCGATCTTGGTGATCATGCATGCTCCTAAGGCATTCCATCTCACGCTGAAACGTCTGGCAACTTCATTGTAACCAAGCGGATGACACTTTTGTCATTTTCGTCCGCTATTCCGTTTACCAGAACGGCATTGTGACTTGGAACCTGGTATATATGCAACCGTTTTCCGACAGCCATTATATCTATTGCCTCCATGTTCTAAAGACATTAACTGATTGCTTTAATTACATATTTAGTATATTTATATACTTTATTACCTTCTGCCTGGAAGATCTTGCTGTATTCCGGCAGCTTGAAGGGTCGTCTGAGATCTTCTTTTTAATTGGCGTAGAACCCGATTACGCGGTTATAGCCGATTGGAGAATGGAGTCATGTGTAGAAGTTCAAGCAAGTGAGTAAAGATCTGTGAGTGCCATTCACTTGGGAGTGGCCAGAAACGATTATTTTACATATTGCTCAAGCAACTTACGACCTTACGCCTTTGATCTAGCTCTGTGAAATTGATCCAGGCGGCCACTGCATCAGCTATTTTTTATACACCAAGGTAGATTTTAAAGGTTTCACCTACCCACCAGCCTCCTGCCCCTGCGCCATCCAAGTCAATTAAAATCGCTCCCAGATAAAGCGTGAAGGTATGTGGTCTATTTTATCTGCCATACCTTGCTTATCAAGCTATATTCGAAGTTTCTTGTTCAAAATTCACCTAGCGTTACCAATCTTGCAATTGATTTCGCTGCTGTGTTTTCACTGCAATGTTATATTAATTAGTGCCAGGTTGACTCACCTTTCAAGTATAGCCGTTGGAGTAATTCTTAATGCTTTTTGCTGCCAGCGGTCCACCACACCAAAGCACCGTAAAGTAAGATTAGATTGACCGATCGCTGTTTAACATCGACTCATAAGGCATTTAATAGGACTGCTGTTGACCGTAGCATCTTTATACTCTCGCAACAAAGTTGCTAAAGAGAGTATTATAGTTTTGTTCACATAACGGTTGTCTGTAAGTCCTAAAACTAAAAGAGTCAGATATAGGGTTATATATACCAAAGTGATCAGGGTGACGAGTAGAGTTGAAATCCGGATGTCTGTCTGTC